GCAACAGGAAAAAATAGTAAGAATGGGAGAATAAATGTCTGGTACTTTGCAGTCCATGACACTGTTATTTTGGTGCCATTTAAAAAAAAAAAATCACAAAAACCCTCTAAACAAACAAAAAAACCAAACAGCAAAAATTTTTAAGTGTAACAAACTTAATTGCTGTTATATCCTTTATTTTGTCCATCTCTGAAGTGAAATTGTGAAGTGGAGCCTTTGAGTGCAGTTCTGCAGGAGTTACCTGGGGATGTGTTCCCCTATAATGCCAGTTCTGTAGAACCACAGAGCAGTTCGGGTTAGGAGGGATCTCAGGAGGCTGTGTAGTGCCACCTCTTGCTAAAGACATGGTCAGTTTTTAATTCAGAACAGGTTGCTCAGGGCTTTGTCCAGCAGGATCTTGAAAACCTCTAAGGTGAGAGTTCTTAGAGTCTTCCTGGACAATTTGTTCCTATCTGTGGTTGTCCCTGTGGTGATTTTTTTTTTCCCCCTCTTTATTTCATGTCAAGCCTCCCCTGTTTGAGCTTGACAGTTGAGGTCTCCTTTCTTCTTGCCTTGTATCTCAGAAGAGAACCTGGCTTTGTTTTCTTAATTACTTCCTCACTGATACCCAAAAGCTTCTTCTACTCAACAAATCCTCAGCGTGTCCTTGTGGTGCAGCACTTTGCATCTTGGTGGATCGTTGCTTTGCTAACCCAAGTTTATCATTGTTCATGTACTGCTGAACCCCAGACGGGTTTCAGTGTTCCAGATGTGGTCTCATGAGTGCAGAGTAAAGGGAAACAATTGCTTTCCTCAGCCTACTGGCCAGGCTTGTGTTGATCCAGTGTGGTGTGCTGTTAGGCTGCATTGTTGTGAGAGGCTCTCTGCCCACTCGTGCTTAGTTTGCTCTCCACCAGGACCCGCATGTTTTTCTCTGCCAGTTGTTCTCTAGGCTGTGCTGGTGCCAGGGATTTTTCTGTCCAGAGTAAAGGACTTTGCTCTTGCTGAACTGCATGAGATTCCTGCCAGTGAATTCTTCTGTCTCTCTGTTGTTGGTCCTGTCCTCAAGTATACCGGTCATTGCCCCCCAGGTTTGATGTCATCCTCAAAACTGATAAGGGTGGATTTTGTCTTCACCTCTAGTTACTGATAAGGAAAAATTAATCACCTAAGTTAGTCTCAGTGCAGACTCTGAGAAGCTATGCTTTTAACCAACCTCCAGTGTCATTAACCACCAAAATTCAACTTCTGAGCTCGGTGACCCACCTAGTTCTTTCATCCACCCATTTGGATAGTAATGACCCAACTTTGATACCTACCACTCTCGCCTTCTTCCCAGATTCTCATAATTTTATTGCAGAAGGTGATTGGGCTGATGAGGCTTTTTATTTTATTTTTAAAGCCTTGGTAAGCCTGGCTGTTTCTGATCCCTAGCTTTTCATTTGTGTCTTGAAATGGCTTCCAGAAGGACTTGGTCTATGAATTTCTTAGCAACTGAAGTGAAGGTGACTTGGCTGTGGTTCCTCAGGTCATCCTTCTTGCCCTATTGAAAGCTGGGTGTGAGATTTGTATTTCTCCAGTTATAGGAGAATTCCTCTAATCTCCATGACCTTTCAAAGATGATAGAGAGTAGCCTTGGAAAAAAATCAGCTAGCTCTTTTAGGACCTCTGGATGCATCCATCTGGCCCCAATTTTTTCTTTAGTGTGCAAAATAGAGAATAACAGTTCAAAATTCTCTCTCATTCACTCCCTTATTCTTTTTTTAAACAATAGAACCATTTAAGGCAGGATGGTTAGAACTTTTCTGAGTAGCTAGGCATTTAGAGCTCTTTAACATGAAACTTCTTCAAAACCCAATATCAGAGTTTTTTGGTAATTGCTAATGTGGAAGCACCTTAGTTAGGGTTCCCTGAAGGTATCGCGTGTGGGTGTATGGTTTTGTGGTTGTCCTCAGCTCTGCGCTCCCTTTGCCTCCCTGATGTAGGTACCAGGATCCACGTGACCAGTTAGTGAGGTAAAGGTCCTGATGACTTCCCCTCCTCTTCCCTTTACCTCCCACCCTTGTTTCAGTTTCTTCCCATCAGCCCTCCGTGCTCATGTACTTTACAATTAATTGCCTTGGCACCATTTAATGTTGCACAAGAAATGGGGGTGAAAAGAAACAGGAAGGTGAGACTGAGACAGCCCAGTCCTCGTTAGCTGGAATAGCTGTAGGCTTCCATCTGAAGAGCCTGAGATGCAGTTTTTATACCTTCAGCATTTCATAGAATCACAGAACCCCAGACTGCTCTGGGTTGGAAGGGACCTTAAAGCTCATCCAGTTCCAACCCCCCTGCCAGCAGCAGGGACACCTTCCACTAGACCAGGTTTCACATTGAAGATCCTCAAAACTAGCTCTTGGGTGGTTTTAACAGATTATTCTGTTTCTAGATAATTCATATTTTTCATATGCAATACTGTCAATAAAGTTTATTAGGAGTTGATTACAAGGCTTATTTTTTTATGAATGCCTGCTCAACATTTGTCTTCCAAATTGTAGTTCTATCATAGTGCTCTCATTGCTGTCTTGCTTGAGAAGAGAGTTCAGTAAAATTCAGATGTTACAACGGAATTCATTTTTTGTTCTCCAGTTAATGGTAGAGCACATTTGAATTTCATATTCTTCCCTAGACGTTAGAGTAGAGGGAAGTGCATGTGGTTGAAAGCGTATGTTGAGTAGGAGCAGTGATACAGGCTTGTCTCTTATGTCACTGCTTTAAAAACAAAAACTGTGGTTGAACTCTGGTTGTGCAACTTTGTATTTGATTCAGGTTTGGAGGTGGCTGTTATGTACCTGCTTTTGAATACTTTGAGAAAGACATAAATTAACCTGTTTCCTTTACAGCTAAAAAGATTGCACACTGCTCATTTCTCCCCATCAATATGGCATCAAGTGATAACCAGCATCAGAACTTACCGAGTAGTGTATTTTCCTCAGTGAGCATCTCTCCTAGATATTTTACTGAGTATATCACAGGACTTGTGTACCAAATCCCAGAGCTGAACACCTAGGATGGAAATGTGTGCTTCTCCTGTTCCCTGCTTGTCCTTCTGGAGGGGTTACCACTTGCATCTTCTGAGAATTTGGTGACACTACCTGTTTTCAGTTCCTGTGTATGTCTGCTCTGTAATTCCAGGACAGGAACCTAGCTTTGTGTGAGGTAACTGAGTGACCTCAAATCAGCACAGATGCTGTAAGGAAACTTTGGTCTCCCTCACAGATTTTGTTTGTCCCTTTTGGACTTTGGTACATAAACTAGTTTATATATTTTACTTTGGAGTAGTATTTGGGTGACTTAAATAAAATTGTAGAAGTTGAAGGTATTGTTAGACTTCTCACTTGTGAATGAATTAAGCTTTCCAACACCCATGTCAAAATGACAGAGACAAAATATTCTATGCTGTTTCCTGATAAGCTGATAGAGGGATTTGCATGTATAGCAATATAACGTCAGGGCTGCAGCCAGCACTTCCAACTGTGGGGAATCTTTATGATGTCTATTCTTAGAGATAATATACCAGATTTGAACCTGCTGGAGGTCAGGGGTTGGAGGGCACCTGCTGTGTTGTAAACTCCATTGCTTTACTAATTCTGGTGCCATTTCAAATCTTTCCTAAATGGATTATGTTTTATTTTAAAACTAAATAATAAAATGTTTTATTTTAAAACTAACTCCTTTTTATAACGTATATTCTAACAAGAAGGCTGTTACAAGACGCTGTCGAATTTCCACCCTAACTTAAATAACCTTTCTTTTAATATCAGCACTATCTTTTAGCTTAGTAATCTTCCTCTCTGCCTCCATTCCCACACTCCTCCCCCAGCTTTTTAAAACTTAAGCTACTTAGGATCTTAATTGTAAAATTTTAAGATGCTTGTAAGCAAAACCGATCCCCTGTTCTCCCTCCCGACAGCCTGGCCGCAGGCACTCGGTGCTTCCTGCTTTGCTTTCTGCCATGTAACACCTACTGCTGCCAGGATCCTCAGGCTCTCGTAAAGCAGAGTCATATGAAATGTCATTTGGCAAGAGCTGCAATTTCTATCTCCCAGATGCGATCTTGACATGCAAGTACTGTCTAATCTTCAAAAGCTATGTCCTAGAGGGCTGGTAACTTCTTAAATTATATTCTGTAGGCATGTATCTGCCAGATATACAATGATATACAATTGCAACATAAGAAATGGGACTGTCTTTTGTCTTGGTGCGATGGACCGTTCTGTGTTAAATATGTAAGCACCTCTCTAAACAACAGATATCAGTACAACTTAATTATAAATTTTCTAAGCCATTTTATTTGCCTTCTAAAATGTATTATTATTATAGTATCCTTGTTTTTTTAATGTGATGACCTCTCTAAATGTCTTATTGGTAATGTTCACCAATAATAAATAATAAATGTGTTATTGGTAATGTTCACTGAGCATTGAAAACTTAGAAACAACCGAGTTGTTGAATTGACAGTAGTAGAATTGACAAGTAATAGGTAGAAACTTTCCCTTCTTTTACTGAAAAGCCATCAGAAATACGTGGTCACTGCTGATTCTTACTGGCACGTGCAATGGAGTTCCTCTAGAATTTTTCTACTTGGAATTTTTCCTCATGGTTCTTTCTTGTGTTAGACCAGATTTTGAATTCCTCCGTTATTGTTTTGAGTATGATGGGATTTTGTCCCCAAGGTTGGTTGCAGGCTGGTTGTGCTTAACATCAGAAAAGCATTAGGGCATCTTTGTTACGCTGAAGGATTTAATTCCTAGGAAACATTTTCTTTATGATTGTCTTGGAGGTGACTGTGAAAGTGACTCTTCCAAATTAAAGCAATGTGCTTGTCACAGGAATGACTGGATGCAGTGTGAGGCTGGGTGCCATCAGATGTCATGTGTGAATGGGATGTCAAACATGGTAACTCTGACTTTTGTATGGACTACTTACATGTTTAGTTGCAGAGCAGCTTTGGCTCTGTATGTCCTATTTTTTTTCAGAGGCTTGCGCTGGAAATTAGTGTTTTTGAAGTGGAGTATGAGACTGTCCTCTATGTGAGCTAGCAATTTTGTCATTTAATTAGTTCATGCTGTCAAAACCAAAGGCTAAATTCTCCTGAAGGTGTTTGCTAAGCTTTACTTTGATTTATATTCTGCTCTGTTTTTCATTATGAATGTTGAAGACTTTTAAGTTTGAAGGTTTCTTTTTCTTTTCTTTAAGGTATATGTTGGTGAGCTTCCTCAAGATTTTCTTCGCATTACCCCAACCCAGCAGCAACAGCAAATCCAGCTGGATGCCCAGGCAGCTCAGCAGCTACAGTATGGAGGACCGATGGGTACAGTGGGCAGACTCAGCATTACTGTAGTACAGGTATAAATTGTACCTTCTTTGTACAATTAAGTAATTGGAATTAATTAATACAATTATTTTTGTATTAAATACAATAATTAATACAATTTTTTGATCAGTGGCCATGAAACGATTTTGTGTTGGAATCTGAGTTACTTAAATTACTTGTCTATAGGGAATGAGTAATTTTTGGGGTTGGAAGGGACCTCGAAAGATCATCCAGTCCAACCCCCCTGCCAGAGCAGGAACCTAAATGAGATCACACAGGAAAGCATCCAGGCAGGTCTTGAATGTCTCCAGAGAAGGAGACTCCACACCCTCCCTGGGCAACCTGTCCCAGGGCTCTGGCACCCTCACTGTAAAGAAGTTTTTTCTCAAGTTTAAGCAGAACCTCCTGTGTTCCAGCTCACACCCACTGCCCCTTGTCCTACCATTGGGCATCACTGAGAAGAGCCTGGCTCCATCCTCCTGACATTTGCCCTTTACATATTTATAAACATTAATGAGGTCACTCCTCAGTCTCCTCTTCTCCAAGCTAAAGAGACCCAGCTCCCTCAGCCTTTCCTCAGCAGGGAGATGCTCCACTCCCTTCATCATCTTGGTGGCTCTGCGCTGGACTCTCTCCAGCAGTTCCCTGTCCTTCCTGAACTGTGGGGCCCAGAACTGGACACAATATTCCAGATGTGGCCTCACCAGAACAGAGTAGAGGGGGAGGAGAACCTCTCTTGTAAGAAAGCTTCCTGCAGAAGCACTTTTGGAACACATTAGCAATTTTGAGAATACTGTAGGGAACTGCAGTTGCCTTATGTATTTTTCCTGAAGTGACTGCTCTATTCCATCCCCTCTTGTGCATTTGCTGGTTTTCCTAGTGCTTTCTGCAGGCTTTCTTATTCATTACACGTGCATAGTCCCAGCTCTTTATTTCCTACTTCCTCTTTTCCCTTGTTATCCTTTCTTTTATCTCTTGTCAATACTGTATTACTGCATTTCTGTGTTAAGATTCCAGATTTTAAAACTTGTCTGTCTTAACACAGTTCTGTTTGTCTGCATTAGCATACCGGATGTCCTTCCTGTTAACTTAATACAGCTCATCTATGTACAAGTGCTGTTTTCAAGTCATTCTCTAAAAACATAGCAAATAGATATTTAGCCTCAAATTTAGCATCAAGCCTGAAAAAGTATGTGTATGGTTACAGCTTCTGTGGTGAGGTCCTTATTGGGGAGTGAACCTATACAGGGTGTCTCAGGAAAAGAGGAACTGATCCTTCCTTCCTGTGTCTTTAACTGGTCGGTTTGCTCCTTCACAGCCAATATCCTTCCTTTGAAAACTGAGGGTAATAGAATCACAGAATCATAGAATGGTTTGGATTGGAAGGGACCTTAAAGCTCATCCAGTCCCAAACCCCCCTGCCATCAGCAGGGACACCTTCCACTAGACCAGGTTGCTCAAAGCCTCATCCAACCTGGCCTTCAGCACTTCCAGGGAGGAGCAGCCACAACATCCTTGGGCAACCTGTTCCAGTGTCTGACCGCCCTCACAGTGGAGGTCTGGGAGCTTGGACTGGACAGTCTAGAGGTCCCATCCAACCTCAGCCATTCTGTGAAAGCTGTGCTTGTGTTAGTTGCCCTTTGCTGGACTCGCTCAAGTATGACAATGTCTTCTACTGAGCAGCCCAGAACCCGAGAGAACAGTACTCCAGATGTGGGCTCCCCAGTGTTGAGTAGAAGGGATCATCTTCCTCGACCTGCTAGCTGTGATTTTCCTAATCCATCCCAGGATGCTGTCTTCTTTGCTGCAAGGGCACATTGCTGGCTTGTTTCCAACTTAGTGTCTACCAAGTCCCCCAGGTCCTTCTCTGCAAAGCTGTTCTCTAAGCAGTTGGCCCACAGCCTATAGTCATGCGTGTGGTTTTTCCTCCTCAAGGGCAGAACATTGCATTTTCATTTGTTGAACTTGGAGATTCCTGTCTGTGCACTTCTCCAGCCTGTCAGGGTCCCTCTGAATGGCAGTACAACCCTGTGGTGTCCCAAGAGAGAGTCTTCTGTACCTGGCTGGGAGTAGATGCAAGAATGCTGTGGGGATTTTGGCTGCATGTTGAGGCACGTGGCATTCTGGATGGGAGACTCGGCAGGGAGCATGGCATAGTTAACCTGTGTAACGTGAAAAGCTGGTTGAAGTCTTTTGTATTTAAATACGTGTTGATAAAGTATATGGAGCAGCATGCCTTAATTCTGTTTCTAATAAACTAGTGGAAGATCAGCAAATATTTTGGGAAGGTAATTTACTTGGGTATTTTTGTCTTGCAGATATACAAGAATGGTGGTGAGTTTGTCTAAGCATGGTTGTTTGTGTCCTCTTAAATTACTAGAAAGACAAATTATCTGCTGTTATTTCTTTTGGTGAAGTTTTATATTAAACTGCCTAATCTCAATGCTCCAGAGTTTAGAGAGTGCACAATTTAGGTGCCAACTTTGCTACCTTAGTTGTTAAACCCACATTTACAAGAAACAGTTTGAGAGCTTTCTCACTAGCTCTAATGTATGAATTACTGAACCAGCATGTTCCCTGAAGGAGAAGAGGGCTTTCCAGGCCAGACCAAATCTTATGCAAGTCTAACTGTTCCAGTTCTTTAACTGTCCTGCAGGAGGAAGGCATCCCAGGCACCATATTTTGTCATTTGTCTTACTATAAAAGGAACTACAGGCTGCTTGGTACAGGTCAGAGAAACAGCACGTCCAAAAAGTCAGATTTCTACTTTGGCATAGCTATGCAACAGTACTCAGTGTTGTCTTCAGGACTGTCATCAACTTGTTTTGTTCTAGTCCTCTGAAATGACAGTAAAAGTATGTTGGAGATCTTCTGATTCTGTACACAGCATCTGTTTGTATAGTAACATAATCCTTAAGTTGCCCGCTGAATTAATATCGAATGCACACACTGAGTTAAGTTAATTTTTTAATCACTGTGAAAAGTCTGATCTACTAGATTTTACCTCAGTTGAACTGCTTCTGCAGCTTGTGCTGTTGTATTGTGTGATATTCTAGAAGCTACTGGATTTCTGTATTTCATCCTTGGAAAGTACTTCAGTGAAAGAAGCCAGGTTACCTATCGCGTGAAGTTTATGACTCTGTATATGAGAGCAGGTACATAAGGAGAAATTTGAACTTGTTACTGTTTCCTTGTCAGCATGTGTCTTTTGGTTTGGTATGAAGTAACTGATTTTAGCCATGGTGAAGATGTGTATTTTCTACAACAGACAGGTTAAAAAGAGGTTCCCTTCTCAAGGTCTCCCAGAGAGTGTCCAGACAAGGCCACCAAATTGGGGAAGGGTTTAGAGAGGAAGGTGTACAAGGAGAGGCCAAAGTCACTTGGTTTGTTCAGCCTGGAGAAGAGGAGACTGAGAGGAGATCTCATGGGGGTCTAGAACTTCCTCCCAAGGGGCAGAGGAGGGGCAGGCGCTGATCTCTTCTCTCTGGCCACCAACGAATGCCAGGAGCAGAGGAAATGGCAGGAAGATGTGGCAGGGGAGGGTGAGGTTGGCCATGAGGAAAAGGTTCTTGAGGCAGAGGGTGGTGGAGCACTGGAACAGGCTCCCCAGGGAGGTGCTCATGGCACCAAGGCTGACAAGATTCCAGCAGCATTTGGCCAAGGCCCTGAGGGACATGGTGTGAATGTTGGGATTGTCCTGTGCAGGGACAGGAGTTGGACTGATGATCCTTGTGGGTTCCTTCCCACTCACAACATTCAATGATTCTATGTGTCATTGACCTGTGTTTTAAATCTTAATGCTTTTTCTTGAATTTTTTTCTTCCTTCCTCTCTACCTTGTAATCGCATCTAGTCCTGTGTTCAATGTGTGATTTTCTTTGTGAACTAACAGTAAGTAACTTCTCAAGTTAATTTAAATATTATACAATACAGACTTTATTTTCTTTCTAGGCAAAACTGGCAAAGAACTATGGAATGACCCGCATGGATCCGTATTGTCGAATACGGCTGGGCTACGCCGTGTACGAAACTCCGACAGCGCACAATGGAGCCAAGAACCCCCGCTGGAACAAAGTTATTCAGTGCACTGTTCCCCCGGGTGTGGACTCCTTTTATCTAGAAATATTTGATGAGGTCAGAACTGCTTTTTTTTGTTTGTTTGTTTCCCCCCCCTCCCTTCCCATCTCCTGTTTGGACTGAGGTTTGGGTGAAATCTTGCAAAAAAAAGGATTGAGTTACCACAGGCTATTTCTCTGGGAGATGATGAATCCCAAGAGCAGCAACACATAAGGTTTTACTCTTCCCCAAGAACATCAGAGCTGTTACTTTTCCTTTGGTAGCTGCTAAGGAGTATTGTCAGAGTTCCCTGCAAAAGAAGAGAAGCAAAGATGTTTGAGTGGTGTTTAAACTCCTTTTAGTTATCAGAATGCCTTGTGGCCTTGTATTCTGTACTGTCCCTGTTAAAAATTGTCTTTTATACAATGCCATTTTACTCAGTTCTTCAGTGTTATGCTAACCCAGGAGGAGCTTGGAAGCTTTCCCAAGCTCAGAAACACTGAGAATAAAGCTGTCAAATATAAACTGTGTGTTGTCACTAGGATTTAGTAGCAGAAACTAAGAGGCTACAACTGAGGCTGAAGCCTGTGGTTTGCCTGTTCTTTTTTTCGCTGCCTCTCTTACTGTGTGTAGTAAAACTTGACACTGCAGCAGTGTGTGGTCATTACACAGGTAAGGCTTTTGGATGCTATTTCATGGGCTTAGTTGATTAGTTTCTGTTTCATTGCTGCTAGAGGGGTGGCACATCAGTACTTGTATCAGCTCTGGAATTACTGGAGTTCACAGCCTATTGTAGTAGCATAAACAGAAGCTGTTTACATTCATTTAATGCTCTCTGGTATGATGTCACTAGATTCACCCAGAACATGCTGATACTAGTGTGTTGTATTTCTACAAGTGTTCTGCTTCAGGTTTTCAATTTCTTACTATCAAATATCTGCAATCAATCTATAATCCCACTTAAAGCATTATTCACGTCTCTGTTGGAAAGAAGATGGCTAACATATTTACTGACACTTCAGTAGTTTCAGAAAAAATAACTTAAAAATAAAGTTGGCAAAAGGAAATAGCATAAAACTGAAGGGTTAGTCAAGAATAATTTTGAGGGTTTGGGGGTTTTTTTAGGACAATTAACTTGATAATATTTTAACAATTATATTTCAGCGGGCGTTTTCAATGGATGACCGCATCGCTTGGACGCACATCACAATTCCTGAGTCCCTGAAACAAGGAAATGTGGAAGATGAATGGTACAGCCTGAGTGGAAGGCAGGGTGATGACAAGGAAGGAATGATTAATCTGGTTATGTCGTACACGGTAAGCCAAGTCTGGGCTGGGAGGAGGAAGGGAGTGAAGCTTCTTGGGCAGTGGGAGAAAAATACTTTAGATTGAAGTAGAAGTAGTTCCCCTGTACCTTACTCGGGGTTTGTGTGTGTTAGCATTTAAAATAAATATACTTGACTTTGGGAATAGCAGTCAAAAATATTAGTTAAGGCAATAAATACTTTTTGGTGAGGTCATAAATGAGTATTTATTTATCTGGTTTTGCAATTACAAAAATTCAACTTCTTCCTGTGCTAATAGAAGTATAAAAAAGAAATCTTCAGTCAAATGGTCCGCTGGAATTTCAAATTTAATAATAATAAAGCTTCAGGGAATCTAACAAGAACTTTTTTTTTTTTCCCTGCTAAGTCTTTAGAAATTCCTGTCAGTTTAAAAGCAAAAATAATTGGAACTCTTCTCTGTCTTAGGTCTTTCTTGGATAGTTTGAATATTCTTTCTGATGACTTTGAATTTTACTTCCATTCTTGTTCATTTAGTGCTCCTGATCATGACCTGCTAACTTACACTGGTCCATGTAGCAGCTCAGGGACTGTTCTCTCATGTGTCACCTTTCTTACATAGCTGTGGGATAACACCTGTAGCATGTGCAGCCCTGAATGCTTCCTGCTCCCCTTGTACATCATCGAAAGTTCCAAATTACTGTTCAGTGCACAACTGGGAACAGATGTTCCCTACTGTTTGAAATTAATATTCTGCCCCATGTCTGAATGATTATTCCATTACCCCTAGCAGAAATGAGTTTGTAATTAACCTTTAAAACTGTCTGCCCATGAATGTACTGTACATAGAATATGACCTTTTTAATATTTTTCCAGGATCAGACTGAACAGGAATTGTTATAGTAAAAGGGAATGGAGTTAAACTGTTATTTTGTTTAAAGCTGTGCTGGTTTTGGCTGGGATAGAGTTAATTTTCTTCTTAGTAGCTAGAATAGCAGTGGTCTGGTTTGGGTATGGGATTTGGTATGAGAAAAATGTGGATAACTTACTGATGTTTTGGTTGTTGCTGGGAAATCAAGGTCATTCCAGCTTCCCATGTTTTGCTAATCTACAGGCCCAAAAGAAACTGGGGGAAGAAAAAAAGAAACTGCACAGTAAAATTAGCAGATCCAAACTGGCAGTTGGATGTGCCAGTGGGATATTCCATATCACAGAACATCATGTTCAGTATATAAATGAGAGCTGGCTGGAAAGAGGGGCTTCCTCTCTTCCAGGATTGCACTTCCAGGTTCAGGGTTTATGCTCCTCCAGGATTGCTATCAGTGGGGGGTGAGCAGTTGTACTGTGCATCCCTCATTTATATGTTCTATTAATATCATTATTAGTATTTTAAGTCTTATTTTATTCCAATTATTAATTTTTTCTTATCTCAACTTAGGAGTTTCCTTACCTTTACCCTTCCAATTCTCTCCCCTTTTCCCAAGGTGGGGGTGAGTGAGCAGTTGTGTGGTGTTTGGCTGCCAACCAAGTTAAACTACAACAAAAGTACTGGTTTACCTCAAAAATAACTGCTTTGAACTGGGATTTCTTCTAGGAGCAGTACACTACTTTTAATAAAATTCAAGTTTGGTCTAAGATTTCATTTATTATGAATATGTTGTATATTCATTTCACAAGAATAAGGCATGAAATCTGATTAAACCCATATTTAAAATAATTTGCTTCAGTAACAAAATTTCAGTGACAAAATTTATCAAACTCTTGCCCAAGGCTAGTTTGACATGGTGTGTTTATATTGATTTACAGGCAAATTAATTGTCATTTAAAAGGATGGTAGTTCAGTTCATTTGCTAGAGATCTTGCTTAATATAGATTACCACTTAGTATGGTCATATTGTAATACTGAACATGGATTTGCAATGTGACAATATGTTTGCAAATACTGTTTTAATTGTTTTAGTTGCTGGTTTAGTTTTTTTTCTATTTCTTGAGTAGTTCTAATCTGTGCTTTTTGTGTCAAGTCTTTGCCAGCTGCCATGATGATGCAGCCACAGCCAGTGGTCCTGATGCCCACTGTATATCAGCAAGGAGTTGGATATGTGCCTATAGCAGGTATGTTTTCTCTCCTTGAAGACTCTTAAAACTTCCAGACTGGGGGTTTTGCAGAAATAAATACCAAATTTATTCTGGTTTTTGGAATGTAAAGGAAACTATGAATGATTTTGCCCTTATTTTTTCCCACAATACAGTTTTGGGAGGAGAAGAGTGAGCAAATTAAGTGTAGGTCTGCTTTCAGTCTTGTACACTGTTTAAGGGAGCTGCATGACTTTGATTAAATGGATTAAAATTACTAGCAAGTTGGAAAAAGTAGCTTGAAGGCTTCTCTTTTTGAGTATTTATTTTAGACTCATGTCAGGTCACTGAAAAACTAAATGTCAGGCTGTGTTCTGATATAATGTATGTTTATTTACATGGTGGTAATCCATGCGTGAAACTGTTGAGACTTCACAAAGTGCACCAAATGACTTGTGCTGTCAGAACTGCAGCTTAAACAGCCCGTGAAGGGATTGAATCTGCTGTGGTCTTGGAAGCTGCTTTGTTGGAAACTTGCTACACAGCCTGTGAATTGTGTGGCACAGTGAAGGAAAAATGTTGGGGAGCTCTGAGGGAGTTAGGTAAGTACATCAAGAAGAGCTAAAGCAGGTGTTGCCAGTTCTCTTGGTCTGTGCAAAGTAAGTTTGGGACTTAAATAGAAAGATGTGTTAACTTAGTTTTTGTAATTTTTCTGTCAAAGCTTAAAGTATGAAATAACCTTAAATTTGCCCTACTTACATAACTGATAAGTAACGTTAAGTTCAGTTATTGTTTCACTTACAGCTCTTAAAAGCTCCAGTTTGTTGTATGGACATTTAGTCAATAAAGTGTGTGCTTTTTGAGGGGAAAATCAGATATAAATTTACATACAAGTGATAGAGTGTGTGGAACATAATTGCAGTGCTAAGGGCTGACACAACAGACATATAGATACAGATAGTTTTAAAGACTGAATTCTTGATTGAATTTAAAATTTCATTTTCTCTAAAAACAAACCTCTTCAACAGAAGAACAGATACGTAACTTAAAGCATCATACCTCCTGTTTCATTTTTATAGAGTTAATTTAGAGCGAAACATGGAAATGTTTGGTTACATGCTTTATTCCCTGATGAAAACATGCAGTTTGCTTAATTTAAAGTGCTTTTATCTCTATAGCTGAATTCTCAGGGTTTAAGTCTTGCTTGCTTTGCCAGTGAACTAGTTTTAACTTGTGTGTGCATCCTGGAGAGTGATTCTGAAGCCAGACTTCTGTGTAGCTTGTCTGTGTTTGAATTAGATGCTGTATCTTTCTTGCTCGTAGGTTCATCGCATCCCTATATACTGAAACAGTTGGTCAAACATGGTTATCTCATGTATGGTTAACAAAAAAACAATAGCTGGAGTGATCCATATAGCAATGTCATAGAATTTTTTTAACAGATCAAAATGAGAATATTCTTATTGCGAAATTACTTTGCCAGCCAGAGTGCAAGCACTAGAAATGAAGAAGAGACGAGTTTCAGGTATAATTGAAACTAGATGTAGAATTGAACAGATAAAACTGATACTAGACCTTCAGAGTTGAAAAACAAGTACAGTGGTGTATCTTGATGTTCAGATCTTGGTGTTCTGTAAATTTTGTATTTATCTTGAGAATATTTTCAGTGATACTTACTAAATCTACTTGGACAAGTGAAGAAATTATTAATATTTAGTGAGTGATAATGTCTGACATTTTAGCATTTAGGAATTTGCCTTTTACATACAATTTTATTGATCTATATGTTGGAGCATTGCCCTTCTGCAAAGATCTAGTATGCTTGTGTTAATTTCTGCTATAATATTATGTATCTGTAGCTTTTCTTTTTAAAGCATTGCAAAGTCCCAGCCCTTGATTTGAACTTTTCTTTTGTTCTGGGAAAGCTTGAATGTACTTCATTGACTTTATAAATGCCAAACTTATTACAAGCCACCATTGACCTATTTTTTATTTTTTCTTTTTTTTTTTTTTAAATATATTACTGTTTTTTGTGTTTGCTGTTCTAGAATTTCTGTGGCACAATCAAAATTTCTCAAGGCACTGTGAATTTTAAAGCTTTTGCCTATTCACTAATTAATGATCCACTCATAACAATTGGATGGATGCTTAGGTTTGGACTTTGAAATGGATTTGACTTCACGATAGATTTACTGTTTAATACATTTAATTGTATGGCTTAATAAAAGTAATTTCAAATTATAAAAGGAACCAATAGTGCATGTTGGAGCACACGGAGTATTGTCAGAATATTTTCCACATACCAAACTAGGTGTTCCTCCTGAATTCTGTGAACTCTTTCAGGAAGGTGCATGCAACCTACTGACCTTCCCTGCCCAGCTGAACTGATTGTATCTTCTGGGGAAACTCTTGGTACACTTTCTGTGGAACACTGTACAACATTTTCTCTCTTTTTAAAACTGCTTCGAGAAGGGCAATGGTGGAACATCAGTATGCTCCACAGGAATGTTTTCCTTTTTCCCATCGTCTTAGTTCAGGTTTTTTAGCTATCCAGTTGAATGAGTTTAGTCAGTAAGCAAGTTCTGTTTGTTTCCTTTGGAAGAGTGGAAGAGCAACACTACACAGTTTTACATCTGAAATGGAGGAGATTCTGTTGTTGGGCAAGACTCTTAGAATCTAAGTCTTATCTGTGATGGAAATACAGTGGGTGGGCTAACATGCTTATCCAGGCAATTTAACAGTTATTTGTTAACTGTCCAAAATAATTGCACTTTAAAGAGAGATGGTGTTAAGTCAAATTTAGCTGTGTCACAGAGGCCAAGCTGGTTTTTCTGTAACAGAAAATTTCTGTTCAAAACTTAGTATACGTAACTAACCTTCTAATTAAGCAGCTGATTCCTCTCATCTATCATACAACTGAGGTAAATGGTAGTAGCAAGGAGTTAGTCACTGTGGTGAAGCAGGTGAAGCTTGAAATGCCAACACGAGTAATGCTCTGTTTCCCTCTGTAGGTGTTACAGAGCTGTGATGGGAGCAGAAATGGCCAGAGAATATTCTTGCACCATATTAATTAATTTCAAAAGTTTAAAAACTAAAAACTTCTGACAATAGTACTAGTTTCTACAAACCATCGTTGCCATAGATGATATATCTATAGATTGGAAAAATCCATGTGGATTGGGAGAACCTGAATTTGTCAATCCTGTTGCTCTTCTAAAAGTTGTGTTTATCTACAGTCTCTTTCTTTTCCTTTTTATAAAGATTATTTAGGTTCGGCTGTAGAATACTGTGCCATATGAGTTGCTTACAGTCCCAAGTTGATCTTATTGGTGGTGTATGAAAGACAGTAAGCTAAAAATGTTAGTTCAGTAAGCAAGCTGTATTTCTTATCAGCTAAGTATTCATGCTATAAATAGGAAATTTATTTGTACTTGTGAACACCTGTGTAAAAAGCAGGTTAAAACCCCATGTGTTTCAGGACCCTACCAGTGTCCAGTATTTAATTTTCTCACTGAGGTGAAGTGTATATACATGTACATTGCTTCTTTAGGTGTCTGTATAGAGTTTCATGGGTTAGCTTACGATGTTATTGGTATTTGTTCAGAAAACCATGGATGCGTGTTGTCCTCTGTGGGCTATAAAATATAATCCTTGCTGCAGACACCTGATGGCTTGCTTACTTTGACAGCATTTCCTCTAATTGTTACTTCTGTCAAAACAGCACATTTAGGAAACTTGTTCAGAGCACTGAAGCAAATTATTGGGAGACTGAATCCTAGCAGCATTTAGTTTTTGTTATTAGGTAGTTTAGGTTTTACCCAATTGCCTCAGTTTATCCAGCTTTCACCTTTGGAAGCTAAATGATTAATTTCCTTTTAAAAAATAGATTAATATTTCTTTCCCATGTCTTATTCCTTTCCTCTTGCCCCTTCATTTCACCTGTCTTTAGGGCTTGAGTACTTTGCTCTGGGTAAGTTTCCAAGCTCTTTTCTCACTCCCATCCTCATTGACTCAAGAGTCTTTGCATGAGCTCATCTAAGCAGCTTTATTTGTTACAGCAGACTGTATCACAAGGTATTGCCACTTGGATGTCACAATAGAACAATTTATAGCATCTCCTGGAAAATGTTAAAGCTCCTCTAACCTGTTGGAAAGTCTTTAAAGACATCTGCTCAGTTTCAAGCTGTAATGATTAAAGTAATTGCTAGTAATAGTGTTGATGGATAAAATGTGATGTTAATACTCTTCTGAAACTGTTGTATGTCACTGAGCTATTCTAGGTGATATTACTGGGTTCCTAGAAGAGAAACGTTAATCTTGCAGTTGTTCTCCTACTGCAAGGTTTTGGGGAGAAGCAGGTAATGTCATGGCTTTTGGCAGACTTGAAAGCAAAGAACTCAGTTCTGTAATGCCATTGAGAAGACAGCCTGCCAATTGCCTTCTGTTAATCTTCAAATAAGTGTTTTTTCGAAAAGATAACACATTTTTTCATCAAGATACAGCCCATGTGTCTTTCACGTACATTTGTTTTAGATCTGTGCGAGCATCTGCTTAGAACTCTAAAAGCAAATTATATTACAATCAGTTTTCCTTCAATTTAGACTTACTTTACTATGATGTTTTTGATTTTGAATTGTGCAAAGGTATTGTGACATCCTTAACCGATAAAAGCATCGGTCTTCAGTCAAGTATGTTCAGAAAATTCTCGAATTACTTGTGAGAGAAAACACCGTTTCTCGATGCTCTGAATTTCAGAAAGATGCTGTATATAAGTGGTGTGATTGTCTCAATGCATTTGCTTTATTCAGAGCAGAGGAATTGTAGAATTTTTCTGTGGGTCCGTAAGCTTCACTTTTCTAGTAGTTTGCAAAGAAGCAACACTTAAAAAAAAATTGGGATGACAACATGTATATTTTAACATTTGATGGGTTTTTTTGAAGCAAGTATCATTAAGACCTATTTGTGTATTTAAAAAAACACCTATTTATGTACTTAAAAAAAAAGTTGATACTGATTTCTTCCTTTAAATGAAAGAATTTATGCTGAGAAGTTTCCTGAGTTTACTCTGAAATGGTCTATGCATGGGACAGAATAATAATGAGCTCAGAAATTAAACATAGGGCACTTGACTGACTGAGAAAATAAAATATGAAGTGTGTAATGCCTTGTGTGCAGTTAGAAAAAGTTTACCCTGTTAATTGTGCTTTAGTGCTTCCATTGCTGCTCATAGCAATTGACTTGGAATGTCACTGCTTACGCCAGCATGTGTGTCACTGCCATTTCACAGAACCGGAACACAGTGCTCCATCCTTCTGAGTGATAACACCTGCCTCAGATCCGAGAGCAACAGAGGACTGTGCAGTTCCACTGACAGTGGATTCTTCTGTGGTTTAGTTTCAGTTTTCACCTGTTAGTGAAATGTGGTGCTTAATATGTAAAGCAGCTTTTTACTAACATTGATAATTTATTAAGTTTATGATAACTTTCTCTAATGACTGCATATATGTGTATTTGCTAAATTTTAGTGTGTAGTTCTTTATGTTTAAGTCTTGCTTTCTACTTTGTGAGTGTGAAACAAAGCAAAAAAAACAAGGTACTCTTTAAACGGATGTTTGTACAGCTTGAATGCTGAGCTTCATGACAAGTAAGCCTTTATCGTGGAGGTATTTATTAAAAATCACTGTGATGCTAACTTCCATTTGTATGCAGTGTAGTTGCAGACAGCATAAACTAATTCTAGAATGGTAAGAGCTAAGAAAATGGATTTTGAAAATCATTAGTGAAAAAAAATATCAAGACATTTCATGTCTCTAAAATTGAATATTTAGATTGAAAATAGTTCTTGAATACTGCCTATGCAGATATCTGGCTCCATAATTATCTTGTTTTGACGAAAGCAGTGAAGAAAAACTGTGTGCTGGTCTTGATTTATTTATTTTTTTATTTTATTTTTTTTTGACGCTGAAAAGACGCAAACTTTATTGGTAAGCTGCAGGATGCTATGGTACTCAAGAAGTGAACCTCTTCTTTAATTTGGATTAATATTGTAAACTGAACTCTTGTATGGACAGTTCCTACACAACTTAGGCTGATAGTTGGCTCATTTTAGGGTGCTGGTAATTTACTGAAGAGCTTAGGAAGCTTGTGTTAGAAGTAAAACATAACTTCTGTTGCTCTGTACTTTGCAACTTTATTTTTTGAGGCCATACATCTTTGCTCACCTCTTGTAAATGCCTAGATTGTTTGTAGGAAGCGTGAGGAATGAGTTGAGGCTTGTTGAAGCTATAGAAGAGGCAGTCTGCAATGCTGCTGATATGATTATTGGATAAAGTGCATTTGCAGTGTTGATGAGGACTGCACAGTTTGCCTCCAGGGTGCATATGTAGTTGGATTTGCCATATGTTCCAACACATAGTGCCAGACAGAATTCCAGGGAACATGGTCCAATTGGCATAGGAAGGTCTAGAGCTAAAGTTTAGGTTGTTGCGGAAGAGGTGATCCTTGGTAGTGTTGTGATGCAGGTGGCTAGGCAGAGACATGGTTCCAGTGTGTAGGTAATGGACGTTTCTTTAGTTGCCAGCATGAACCTTTTTGAATAGATGCAGCCTGTACGTTAGACTTAAGCATCTTGGTTCCTTCTGTGCTTCTAATAAAGCTATAGATGCAAGAGGAATTTTAAAATCAAAATTGGAGAACATTGCTAAGTATGGAGCTGCTTACAATTCAATAATCCATCCCTTCAGATAGGACAGAAATCCAAGCTGAGGAAAGAAATAGCAAAAAGTATGTTAGGTAAAATCACAGGTGCAATGCACACAGTCAAATTACATTCAATTACAGTACTTTGTCAGCCACAGGTGATGTAATTTAAGATGAGTTTAGCTGATCTAACTTTGAATGTTAATTTTAATATAGCACTTTTAAAGCTGATAGAAAAAACATAATCCCTGAGATGCTAAAATATTTGTACAAGTTAAGGTGAGCATAGACATTTCTGATGAGATAGTTACAGGTTAAAGAAAGTCTTGAAGAGACAAGGTAAGTATTGAAACTGCTCCTTTATTTTAGATGTCAGGTCTGAGTAGAAGTAGTATAATATATTTGCAATATGTTTAATCATTGAAGCACTTTAGTCCTAATGCTAAGAGAGTTGAGGCTGCAAAGAGACATACTTGAAAAGTACAGCGGTCGTATATATGCTTTGTTACTATGCATTTTGAACAGTTAGAGCTCGATAGAAGAGAAGCAGCTTTTGATTTACTGTTTCAAAAAGTACCTTATTTTGAAGATGTATAATAGTGGTGATGCAAATAATTCATCTTTTATTTAACTTAAGGAGAAGTAAGTAAGGTCATAGAAAGCTTGAACATATGAACTAAAGACTATGTAAAAAAAAAAGTTGTTAGCTGCTCAAAGTATGCCTTTTTTTAAAGAACTCTTGAAGAATTTGAAAAAAATCTCTGCAGTAAAATAGCAAAGTAGGTTTCTAGCAAAAATTAGTAGGTCTGCCCAAATGCAAATTAGAGGGATATGAGAGAGTTAAAGTATATATTGAATCTAAATTGATAATGAGGTTGGGTAACAAAGCTTTTGAGGATCAAAGGTGTAAGGAGATGAGAACTATTTACTTTAAAGAAACAGAGAATCATTTAGGTAATTAAGTGAATTCTAAAGATATAAGTATGTAAGGGAATACTAAAAAAAAACCCAGAACGTGAGACCATAATGGGAGGAGGAAGAAAGTGTTTGGTTTTGTCCTTCTTAGGAAGGAATGTTTTTTTGTGGAGAAGGAGCTTCAGATTATAATGCTAGAGTTTAACACAAATTGTTAAAATGAGCTTAAGAAAATACATGTAAGATAACATTTTTTTCCCAGTCTTGTATTTTGTATTTTTTTTACCAAATGCAATATAATATATTAATATAAA